CTGAGCCCCTAAATCGCGGTCCACTGCGGGGGTCAGGTGAGTAGCGCGGCGGCTGGGAGTCGCGTTGGCGGTGGTAGAGGCTGATGGTGGAGGTTGTCCCCACTCCTCTGACTCTTCGGCAGGCCAGGGGAGCACCGCGCCCCTAATCTTGGAGGGGCTTTCAACCTGTGGGGTCCTCCGGGGAAACGTGGGTTAGTCTGCGGTGTAGCCAGGTGCCCTCTCCACTGTGGGCACGCTGGGGATTCCGGGCCGAGGAAGGGCTCCCGGCACGTGTTGAAAAAGTCGGCATCCCAGAAGGAAGATTCTGGGCAGATGGGCATCGGGGAAGGCAATCCCAACCAATGGGCCCGTTTCTGAGCACGTAAGCCTGTTCAATGGGTGCTAACAAGCGCCTGCTTTGCCAGGCAACAGCGAGCAAAACCGGCTTTGTTCCTGGCCGCCGGAAGCTTCAAGGCTGGGGTTCCGGAGCTGGGCGCGCAATGGCAAACTAAGCGCCGAGGACTGGAACAGGAGCGCCCACCAGGGCCGCGATCTGGTGGGTAGGGGCAGGGCAATGGCTGGAAAGGGTCCCTGAAGCCCTGAGCAGAGACCTAAGGGCCGCACGACTGCAGGAAGGCCATTTTGCTTGACTGACAGGTGGAAAACTCACGTGGCTGGAGTAGCAGGGTTGGTGACGACAAGGGTGAATCCCACTAAGCCTTGAAGCTGTTTGGGGTGTGAGGGGTGAGGGGGATTCTCATTCTCAGAATTGCTGTGGATAGAGGGTTTTGGGTTGGAGAGAGATTGGGTGCACTTAAAGGACTGAAAGATGGCGACGACACATTCCCTCAGAGGATTTACATTCTGGAAGGGTGGGGACAGGCCCAGGTACAGATAAGCCCGCAGGCGGCCTCCAGCTCTTACAGTCGAAAGTCTGATGAGTTATGCCCAGTCGCCTTCCTCCTCCCGCCGGCCTGAGGTCTGGGGCCCCGTGGACGAAGGAAGTTCATGGGAGGCAAACGTACCTGGGCAAGCAACAGCTGCAGAGATTCAGTCCCCACAGGGGTTAGGAGTCACACTTCGGGCCTCTTCCTACCGCCTCCAGCAAATGGCCATCTTGAGGACTAGCGGCAGCAGTAGGTCTTCTC